GGCCCTCTTGCCAGGAAGGTAGGGGTTCCCTACTGGAGCTGATTTACAGCCTTTGACCTTACCTGTGAAGGGAGACTGGTTCATACTGCTCCTGTCTCCAGCCTGGTGGCTGTATATCCCTGAGTCTGTGGGCAAAGAATAGGACATTTTTTTCTCCTCTTCTTAGGGATTAAACTCAAGGCCTTATAGATGCTGAGCAACCTCCACCTCTAATGCTACATCTCCAGCCTGGTTGGTTGGTCAATTGTTTTGTTTTTTCTTTTTCTGAGTCAGGGTCTTAATGCATTTGCCTAGGCTGGCCTTAAATTTAGCAATCCTCCTGCCTCTGCGATTGTATAGGCATATATCATCTTGCTACTCTTTTGTGAATTCTCTCTTTTTTATTGTTATTATAAAGGTCATGTACAGAGGGGTGATAGTTATGTAAGTCACGTAATAAGTATACCTCTTGTAGAACAATGTTACCCCTTCCTTTGCTCTCTCTGTTTTTTCTTCCTGTCCCCACCTACAAGTTGTATAGTTCATTTTCAACACAGTGTCTAGGAGTACCACTGGTGATTTCAATCTTTGCGTTGTTTTCTGCCCCTAACAGTGGAGATGTTCAATCAGTCAGATGGAATTAGCCAAGGGTGTGCGTGTTCATTCTTCAAAGCCCTGCTGAACTGTCCCTCCTGGGATGCAGCTGAGCAGCCCTCACCCTTGGCAGGGCAGCCTCTGAGTGAGCTGTAGCTATTGATCAGACGCAGTGAGGCCTGGCTCTGCCCTGTTCATCTCTGTCTTCCAGCCCAGGGCTGTGCTCTGCATGGCCTCCTGCAGGCAATGCTCACCTGGGTGAGCAAGTGGGAAGGTTGGTGTGAGCCAGCAGGGGCAAGTGGAGATGGGGATAGAGAGATGCAGGATGCCTGGGAGCATCTTAGGATTAGAGCATCTTAGGGAGTCTCAGGAGTAGGCTATTGAGGCAGATTGTGAGCCCTGCATGGAGGCTGGGCACTGGGTTCTGCAGTCCAGTGTTGGCCAGCAGAATGTGATAAGATGTCTTGGCTCTTATTGTCGTAGCGTAGCTACCAGCCCTGTGTGGCAGCCTTGTGAGTACTTGAAATGAGCTCAGTGTTTTTCATTGAATTGTCATCATCATCATCATTTTGAGATGGGAGAGATGAAACCCAGGGCTTTTGAGCATGCTAAACAACTATATTCCAAACCCGATTTCACTTTAAATAGCCGCCTTTGCTGGTGGCTATTTAATAATACTAATAACTTTGGCATTTATTATGTGTTTATTATGTAGCTTTGCATGTACATCTCAATCCTCAAAGCACCCCTTGAGGACAAATATCTCATTTTACAGATGGGAACAGTTGAGGCTTAGAGGGGCTGCAGGCAGATTTCCCAGGCCTATGTCTCCCTCGCATAAAGCCTCTGCCCCTGTGCCAGGCCACATTGCCTATGCAGGAGCCCTCAGCAGGACTTAGGAACATGAAGGTAGTGATGGGGCATTGGGTAGCAGGAGCTGGAGTGTTCAGGAGGTGGAGTAGAAAGAAAGATGACATAGATATAATTCCATTTCTAGGGCCCTCAACCTGTAAAGAAGAGCCCAGTCCTGAAGAGGACTGTGCTAGATGGAATGTATGTCCCTGAAATCCATATGGTGAGCCCTCACCTCCGAGGGATGATGCTTGGAGGTGAGCCCTTTGGGACTTGTTTTGGGTTAAACAGCTCATGAGGGTGCCCTCCCTCCACCCTGGGGTGGAGGGGAGGGAGGATGATGTCTTTATAGGAAGAGCCCAGAGTGTGTCTCTCTATCATGACAGTACACAGCAAGGTGGCTCTCCACAAACCAGGACCAACCATGCCAGCACCACACCCTGATTAGGGGCTCAGACATCCAGAAATGAGAAAAAAAAGTTCTGTTCTTCCCACCTCTCAATCTAGGGTACTTTTTTTTCTTTTTTCTTTCCTATATACTAGTCCTAGAACTTGACTCAGGGCCTGGGTACTATCCCTAAGCTTTTGTGTTCAAGGCTAGCACTCTACCACTTGAGCCACAGCACCACTTTCAGCTTTTTGGTGGTTAATTGGAGACATTTGTCTCACAGACTGTCCTGCCTGAGCTGGCTTTGAACCACGATCTTCAGATCTCAGTTTCCCTAGTAGCTGGGATTTCAGGCATGAGCCACCAGCACCCAGCTTGAATCTAGGATACTTACGTTATGGCAGCTGATACAGACAGGGGCCCAGGCTGCACCATCCCCTCCCCTTGTCCTTGAATGTAGAGGAGAGTGGCCACCAGGCTGTGGGGAAGCCTGCAGGTGTCATGAAGGCTGCTGAATTTGGGCTTTCAGTCTACAGCTAGAAAGATTTCTTCCTTCCTGAGAGAGCTCAGGACAGACCAGACTGACTGTGAGCCAGCATCAGGAGGCCTGTGAATGTATTCTGGCTGCACCTGAATCCAGCAAACTCTTGTCTTGTATCATCCTCTGTGTGGCCTTCTCTTTGCTGTTATTTGAAAGACTTCAGCCATACCCAGGGACCTGCCTGTACAGAACCAGATATCAGGCTGGGAGTGAGCCTGAGGAACCAGTAATCCAAACTTCTGTACACGAAGCCTCTTTTCGCTTCCACCATTCACCCTCTTCCTTCTCCTCTAGATCAGGAGCAACCATCCCTAAGTCAGCAGGGGGGAAGGGGGGGCGCTCAGAACAGCATGGGTCTCCTTCCCAGAAAAAAATAGAAGGAGGGAAGTATGTGATCACTCTCCTGAACTTCACAAGAGCCCACTTTGTTTCTATCTAGCTGTGTGGCTCTAGCAGCCTATAACACCAGAGCCTCCATTATTGGGGGGATCCCAACACTCCTTCCTTTATAATTAGTGGCTCAGTAAATAACAGCTATTGGTGTTTCATTCCTACCTGATTTTCAAGACTACAGTCTCATTCCATGGCTTTGGGAAGGGCAGAGTACTCTGTGTTTTAGGTTACACTGCCATTGAACACCATACATATATAAACAGTATAATACAAAGCCAGGTGTGGTAGTACACGCTTGTAATCCCAGCTATGTGAGTTACATGAGCAAAAAAAGTATGAGACCTTATCTGAAAACTAACTAAAATGAAAAAAGGATTAGGGCAATGGCTCAAGTGGTAGAGTGCCTGCCTAGCAAGTACAAGGCCCTGAGCTCAAACCCCAGTACCACCAAACAAGAAAGAATATAGCAGGGAAATCTGGCCTCTCTGAGGCCACACCACCTTCACACATACCACTATGCATCTAGAGGAAAGACCAAGTAAGTTGGCTTCAGTGCCTCTTTCTCCTTTCCCCAGGGAGGAGAGACCTTGTGAGTGGTGGTTGGTCTTGCCCTAGAAATGAGGATAAGGGCGAGAGGTGAGGAGAAGAGATGCAGCCCTAGGAAAAGGGCAGGTTAGTAGCTTATAGTCTAGGGATGCAGTTGATTGGTCCCTGAGAGGGTTCACCCCTCCGCCTGGCAAAGATCCCAAAGCAAACACTAACACTGAGGTGGGTCCCTTGCCTTTTAGTTGACCATGAGAGCCAAAAGGACCAGCAGATAGCAGTGGGCTGTGCCCCACATAGACTCTCCAGTGGGATGGCCTCAGGATGATGGGCTCTGAGAGTAACTTCCCTGCCAGCCCAGAGGACCAGGGCTTGGAACAGATCCTATTTTACTTGGAGAAATAGAGAAGTGACATTTTTTGCACCTGATCCTGGGATGGCAGCCAATTGTGCCCCCACGGATGTGTCATAGCTTCCCTTCCATGGGTACTGGCTGCCTTCTCTCCTGCAGAGCCCGGCTCAGCCTCCCAATCAGGATGGTGACACATGCTTTGGGAAGCCAAGTCGGTGACATTTCCCTCTCCTCGGAGAGGTGTGCGCCTTGCTCAGTTGGCAGCCTGCAGAAAAGGCCAAGTAACAGATTCCCACCGTCCCTCAGCAGGGGACAGGAGAGAGTCCTCACCCCTGCAGGGAGCCAAGGCACAGAGTCCCATCTCCCTCCCCTTTAGGAGGAGGTGCCATCATTGAATCACACTTCCCCTGGTGGGCCCAGAGCCAGGCTGAGCCCCAACAAGTCCACCTCTGCCTCCCAGTGTGTTTACCCTGGCCTTCTTCACCAAGGCTGTTGCTGTGCCTCTAGGGAAAGCAAAATATGTGTTTAGAAGTCAGGAGCTTAAACAACTCTGCAGATGGAAAAACATAGAATCTACATTCTGACTGTGTATGCAGAGGAAATGATAGAATGTTCCAGAGTCAGCCCTGAACCCCATCTTCACTTGCTCCTGGTCTTGGGCAAATTCTCAAAGTCCTCCATACCCTGAGTTCCTCCTGAACACTGAACCCCATCCTCAAGATCACCCCAGGAATCCTGGGAACTCTTTCAGTGAAGGGACCTGGCATAAAGTGCAAGCTCAAAATATCACTGGTATTTTTCCTGAGCTGTTGGGCACACTCTGTGTGTGTGTATGTGTGTGTGTGTGTGTGTGTGTGTGTGTGTGTTGCATGATTGTATATGTGTGTATAATTTCTTTGCTGGAGGACAGTATTTCGGCCCACATTTCTGGAAGGCTGCACAGGTTGCTCTGTGCAGGCTGCCATCACCCTCTACCATGTTTCTCCGCACCTTCCCTGGTATTGGGCATTTGGGTCATTTTCAGTTCTGTCCTGCTGTTACCCCTGCAACTGGGAAGATCAATGAGCTTGGTTTTTGATGTAGTGCTAACAGCACAAACTGGAGGGGAGGGGTGGCGCAGTGGGCAGGTGGGTGGATCTTTAGTATGGAGATGCATGGATGGGGTCCACTTGCTGCTCCAAAGTTGGCCAAGGAGTTTTAGATTATCTCTGCCTTTGGGGAGTTCTGTCCTTGTGTCCTGAAGCAAAAGCTGACCCCTGAGAAGTTGACGAAGTATCCTCTGGCTGCCGCTGTCCCCAACTCTCAGCTGAGGAGGAAGTAGGCTGAGACCTGACATATCCATGTCCTTTTTCTTGTAGAAAGTCTGCACCAAATGTGGGATCGAGATCACCCCTGGCCAGAAGCGGCCCCTGTGGCTATGTAAGATCTGCAGTGAGCAGAGAGAGGTAGGGAGCCCAGGCACAGGAACAGGGGGGCTGGAGGGGCTGTGGAGCGCTTCACACATGGGGGTTGGTCAGTTGTTCACTGTCAGGTACTTCTCTGGGGGCCAAGAGGGACCACCCAGGGGAGAAGGGTGACAGGGACACACTGCTGGCTTGCCACCTACCTGTGCAGAGGCAGTCCTGGGCCCTCATTCTGTGTCTCTGGTATCGGTGGGATGCCCCTCACTCGGAGTGAGGTATGTGACACTGGCTTCTGTTGCTATGGTAACAGTTGTGCCTACTTGGGGTTGACATCTACTGAAGTGTGTGCTAAGCCCCTTATATCGGTTCATAGGTTTCTTCCCCACACACCCTGTAGGTGGGAGCTCTTCCTCTTTCTTTTCCTGATGGGTAAATGGAGGTACAGAGGCTAAGCGGCTTTGTGTACTGGAAACCAAGTTCAGCCGTAGCCTGATGGGATGCTGCTACCCGCAGAGTCCTTCCTGGTGCTAGGGTGCTCATCCCAGGTCTAACCCTGTGCATGGGGAGGAAGTTGATTCAGCCTAGGGCTTCCTCACTGTCCTGAAATCAGAATGGAACCAAATGGAGCTGGCTACAGAAACAGAGGAGCTGGGCAGAAGGTACATTTCTCTGTCTCTCCAGATCCACAGCTCTCCAGATCTGTGTTGTCTTTTTATGTATTCTGCTTGACACTAGGCATGTGCTTTTCAAGTGAGGATCTGTACCATGTTTTCAGCTCTGGAAAATTCTCAGCCATAACACCCTTGACTATTACCTTGACTATCATCATTTCATCATCTGGAAGACATATTGGAAAATAGCTCTTAACTGCTCCCCTTGCAGAGTGGTGCCACAGCTCCATCCTGAGTCCTGAGTCCCCTAGGGAGAAGCCAGGTGTCCTGGGTTCCTGATGAGCTGCTTGTCCATGGGGATAATGGGATTATTCCCAGAGCATGGGAGCCGGGCTCTGGCCCTGCTGTGTGGGCACCTGCCCACTCTCTCGGATGCATTCCTGACTTGGGGCTGGCCTCTGAAGGTTTCAGCCTCCTCTCCCAGGTAGCAAACTCCCTTACAAGCCCCATTTTTAGTGTCTTGGCTCTACCCCACCTCCCATGGGACATTTAAAATTCCCATATCCAGGAAAACCCATCTCCTCGCTGCCACCACCTGCCTACAAGTCCACAGGCAGTGTGTTCAGCTCCTCAAAATAGTAAGTAGGCAGGTGTGGTACATGCCTGTAGTCTTAGTACAGATACATACCTGAGGAAGAAAGATTGTGAGTCTGAGGCCACTCTGAGCCATATAGGGAAACAAACAAACAAATAAACAAAAGCAAATGGTATGGGTTTCTGACCCACTGTGATGCATAGTTTGTTTCAGAGCACGAATTAGTTTACTTGTTTTAAAAATAGTTCCATGTGTCGTTGTAAATAAAAATATTTCACCTGTGTGTCTGAAATAGTGATGTCAGGGTCTCAAAGTGGGCACTCACATTGGGTCCTAAATGGTGATGATACTACTCGCTTTGTAGTGTTACTATGAGAATTCCATGGGCTCAGGATATCCAGCATACAAAATATAATTGATATTTCCCTCCCCAGTCCTCTCCCACACCCCCAACCAGGAGATCTGCCTTTGAAATGAGGTTTTTATTGCTTTTAGAGGCCCATCTTTAAAATGCAGATTTTTGTTTATTTGGTTTGTTTTTTGTTTTTGTTTGTTTGTTTTTGTCCATCGTGGGGCCTGAACTCTGGGCCTGGGCGCTGTCCCTCAGCTCTTCAGCTCATGGCTAGCGCTCTACCCACTTGAGCCACAGCGCCACTTCCCACCTTTTCTGTTTATGTGATGTTGAGGAATTGAACCCAGGGCCTCATGCATATGAGGCAAGCACTCTACCACTGAGCCACCTTCCCAGCCCCTAAAATGCAAATATTGAATATCCATGAGGGGGGAAATTCCTTCAAATATTTTCATGAGGTCAGAGGTCAAGGAGCCATCAAAATAAAGGAAGTGGATGGAGGACAGTGTGGATCCCAATGGAATCAATGGGGAGCAGATGCCCTGTCCACCTCATCACAAGCTGCTCGCACAGTGCTTAACAGTCCTGACCTGCTGCACCAGGGAAACATCCGGCAGAGCACTCCTGTGCCCAGAAAAGTCTGAAATAGCTTTGGATGTGTTTTCTTATCTTTCCCAAGGCCAAGAATATGAGTCTTTCCATTATACTATCAGTTTGCCCTTGAATTCTTAGGCACTGATAAAGCTTAGCAAGATGGAGACGCTAGCTCTGGCAGCACCAGGCATTCCACAGGCATTTAGTATAGCTGCTCTATAAGCTGTGTATGTGGTACCTAAATCAATGGGTATGATGCCCAGGCACTGACGTTTCCTGTCTGCTTTTGGATGGGGCAGGGAAATTGGTTTCCTGATGCCATTTTTCTCTTAGAAAATTATCTAATCATAATAAAGAGAAAAGTAAACAGAAAGGGCATTGAAAATGTCAGGTTTTAAGTACCACTCACAGTGTGGTACGTGTAGCTGATTGTGAGATAAGAACTTGGAGTTAGGTCCACATTGCAAAAGGCAGATCCTAACGAAAGAGCTTGAGTTTTCTGCTGGAAACTTTCCTGCACTTTGTGCCGAGAACTCTTATCTCCCTCTCCTGCCAGTGCTTTCCTGCCACCAGCCCTGCTGTCATTGCAAGTAGCTTTTCGGGAGTGAGTTGGATGCAAGGGAAATGTTCCTGGTGCTGTTGAGCTGGCCTAGTGATATGAGTGATATGAGTCTCTGTTGCGCTGTGCCTGGGGAGTTTCCAGTCTAATGCATTTGTTCATTTGGGAATTCACAGATTTATTGAGTATCTTTGGTGTCCCTAGAAAGACAGCTCTCCTAATAGGACAGAGACTGAAAACACAGAAGGGTCAACTGTAAGGCAACTTCATAGATATTGAAAAACTATTCAAGGCATAGCAGGGAAAGGGTCCTAGGAACAAGTGGAGGGACTCATTTGCTAAATAATATTTAGAGATCCAAAGCACACTATGGAAGGAAAGTAGAGGTGCTATGGCAAGGGCAAAGGACCTACGGCAGGGGTGCAATTGGTAGGTTCTAGTAAAAACAAGGAAACCAAGTGTAGCTGGAAAAATGTCAGGGCTGGGGACAAAATCAGACCATGATGGTCCATGTGCACCATTGTAAGAACTTTGGATTTTATACTTAGTGAAATGAGAAGCCTTTGGAAGAGTCTTGAGTACAGGAAGTAACCTTCTTCTTTTAAAGAAATTCTGGTTACTGTGTTGAGAATAAATTATACACTATAATATCAGAGCCAGGAGGCGGGCACCGGTGGCCTGTAATCCTAACTACTCAGGAGGCTGAGATCTGAGGATCACGGTTCAAAGCCAGCCCAGGCAGGAAAGTCTGTGAGACTCTTATCTCCAATTAGCCACCTGAAAACTGGAAGTGGCGCTGTAGCTCAAGCAGTAGAGCACCAGCCTTGAGCTGAAGAGCTGAGGGACAGCACTCAGGCCCAGAGTTCAAGCCCTACAACTGACAAAAAATAAAAAATAAAAAAAAATCAGAGCCAGGGATAATGTTTTATTATTCATATTTACAGTTGCTTGGATATCTATGTTCCTAGATGTTGCTACACTTCGTTTTTATTTTCTTTCTTTTTTTGCTGGTCATGGGGCCTGAACTCTGGGCCTGGGCACTGTTCCTCAGCAATTCAACTCAAGGCTAGTGCTCTACCAGTTGGGCCACAGCACCACTTCCGGCTTTTTCTGTTTATGTGGTGCTGAGGAATCGAACCCAGGGCCTCATGCATACGAGGCAAGCACTCTACCACTGAGCCACCTTCCCAGCCCCAGTTTTTATTTTCTTTAAGGGCCAGGCACGATGGCTCATGCCAACAACTCAGGAGGTAGAAATCAGAAGATTTGTGGTTTGAGGACAGCCTGGGAAAAATGTTAATGAGACCATCATTTCAATAAGCCAAGTAAGGTAACTCACATCTGTAATTGCAGCTAGGCTGGAAACTTATGTAGGAGGATCATGATCTGAGGCTATCCCCAGACAAAAACATGATACCCTATCTGAAAAATAAGCAAAGCAAAAAGGGCTGACAGTCATGGCTCTAGTGGTAGAGCACCTGCCTAGCTGACTTGAGGCCCTAAGTTCAAAGCCCAGTACTGCCAAAACAGAACCAAACAGCCAAATATAAAAAATGATACAAATATCATCTCAGTGATATTCTGTCATATGAACTTGGTACTTATGGAGGACAGTCTTTCCATTTCTTCCTCTTATTATAGCTCTTTGTCTACACTTTATATTGCCTTATTATTCATTCTATTTATTTATTTGTGCAGTGCTGAGACTGGAACCCAGGGCCTCATGCACACTAGCCAGGCACCCTGATTTATTTCCTCATGGGAAACACTAAGCTTTCGACTCCTCCCACCCACACCCCTTGCCTGCCTCTTATGTTATAGCCTCAGAAGACATTCCTAGAAGCCAAAAGGAAATGTCAGCACTGATTTCCTTTCTTATAGACCCTTGTTATTATTCTCATTTATCTCATAATTAGCTAGTGTATAATTCAGTGCAATTTTTAAAAACAAGGGCTTGCAATAGTCTGCTTTCTGAGTTCCTTGCTGATAATTGTTGCCTTTATGCAGAAAGACTACTTGACTGAGAATACAACTGATAGTGATCTTTCACACTGACAGTGCAGTGGGTCTTACCCTCTTTGTCTACCAACCACAGAAAGAAAAGCAACAGTGCCAGGAAGAGCCAGCAGACATGACAATTAGAAGCATTGGTACCCAGGGAATGAACCATAATAGGAAAATAGAGAAAGAGACTGTAGATAAGGGTACTTTTATAATTATTTAATTAAAACTTGTAAGAGAAGCCAAATTGAACATACAGGACCTTTGAAAATTGTCCAGGAAAACTTGAAGAAGAACCAAAGGAACCATTTTTCCTTTCTTCAAATGAGA